CATAGGCATTTGGGAGAGTGGATTTTTAAAGTCCTTTGTAATGTGCAAAATATAGAAGCTCTCTCTCTCTCTCTCTTTCTCTCTCTCTCTCTCTCTATATATATATATACATATATATATATATATATCAGTACCTAACATTTGCTAGACACAAGATATTTGGAATTGCAAAGAGGCATAGGATATTAAATATAAAAGCAAGCACTAACTAAAGAGTCGAAGAGAGAGAGAGGAAAAGTACCTACCATAGAAACAGGCTCAGGGAAGGGTGGTGGTAGGGAAACTGGTGGCACTGGTGGTGGGAAATGTATACTAGTGAAGGGATGGATGGGTGTTGGAATACTGTATGATATTTTGTTAAGGATCTTTGCATCTGTTTTCATCAGGGATATCATTCCGTAATTTTCTTATTTTTGGTGTCCCTGTCTGCTTTGGTATCATGGTGATATTTGCCTCATAAAAAAAAAACTCTTTAGGAGTGTTTCTTTTCCTTCCTTCAGTTTCCTGGGAAAGCTTGAAAAGGATTGGCACTAGATTCCCTTTAAAGGTTTGAAGGAATTTACTAGTGAATCCATCTGGACCTGGGCTTTTGTTTGGGAACACTTTGATTACCATTTCAGTTTCCTCAGTGGTCTGTTCAGATATTCAAATCTTCGTGCTTCAGCCCTTGGAGGTTTTAGGAATACAGAAACTTATCCATTTCTTTAAGTTTCTCTTGTTTTGTACCATAAATGTTTTCAAAGTAGTCTCTGACGATCTTTTGGATTTCTGCAGTTTCTATTGTGAAGTCTTCCTTTGAATTTCTGATATGATTTATTAGTGTTCTCTCTCTGTGTTTCTTTGTGAGTCTTGCTTGTGTTTTATCAATCTTGTTTATTTTCACAAGGAACCAGTTCTTGATTTTGTTGATCTTTAGGATGGATTTTGGGATTCCAGATTATTGACATCTGCTTAAGTTTTATTATTTCTTTCCTCTTGCCTGGTTTGTGTTCCTTTGCAGCAAATTATGTGGTTAAATTATGTATGTGGGCCCTCTTTTTCTTCCTGATGAACGGCTTCAGAGCTATAAACTTTCCTCTTAACATTGCTCTTGCTATGTCCCACAAGTTCTGGTAACTCACGTCCTAATTCAATTTTTTTCCAGTAATCTTTTGATTTCCTCTCTAAGCCAGTGGTTATTCAGTAGTGAGCTGTTTAATTTCCAGGTGTTTGATCTGATTCTCAATTTATGGGTCTGATTCATTTCTATTTTCAGTGCCTCATGGTCTGAAAAGATAGTTGAAATAATTTTTATCCTCTTAATTTTATGGAGCTGTATTTTGTGGCCCAGAGTGTGATTTATCTTGAAAAATGTCCCATGTGCACTGGAGAAGAATGTGTATTCAGCTTTTGGGGCTTGAAAAGTTCTGTATATATCTATATCTATAGCAATGATTTTATGGAATATTATGTCAAAAGTTTCAATCTTTCTCCCAGCAGGGTTAGTTCTACCAACTGCAGTGTTAGTGATGTGTACTGTGGATCCTTCATTAATTCTGTCCTCTTCTAATTCTATGTTTCAGTTATCTTCCTTCAAATGTAAGCCTAAATGTATCTCCAGTGCAAACCATGCTATGTAAGCTGGTAAGATTTTCTTCCAGTGATATATTGTTGGGTCAGTGTAGGATAACATTGGTTTGTTCTTTCTACCTTGCCATAGGGAACTTAGGTTTATAGGGTTACTCCCATCACAGCACTCCCATTCTTCTGTGTTTATTTGTAACCTATTTCTTTGTGCTCTGTCTACTTGTAAATATTTCTTTTCTCTTCTCCTTAAGTCCTTTGCATAGTTAATTCAGAGCAATGTCCTTTTTGTATAGACACAGGAAGACAGTTAATGCTATGCTTTCATAACTTGGGAGTTAGTTGACTCTGAATGATGCCCACCCAGGGGTATCTGTTCTCTTGACTTAAGCCTTAGTTGCTCTTACTTCCTAGAACCCCAAAAGCAGGGTCCTGATAAGGGACTGGAGGGACCCAGAGCAAGCAGTGATCTACCCTGACATCAAAATGGACCTGGCCAAAGTGCCATAATACTTAACTATAAGTTAAGAGCATGGTGATGGACAAATGCTGTCATGATCCAAAAAGTAATAACTAAATTCAGACCCTGATAGGGTTAGGAGTAATTAATCTGTAGTCTGAGTCTATAGTGATATGTCCCCAGGAGAGCCACCCTACAAGCTCAATGTATCTCTTACTGTGTCCATACAAAATAATTAACATTAAGAAGTAGAATTAAGATATTAATTAAGTTATTGAACTAAAGAGAGGAGAAATACCCTAGGTGGTATTTCCATCCTAGAGCCTGATGGGCGATCAGGAAGGGCTTGTGATATGTTGATTTTGCTACCGACTGGTGTGTGGGGTCTAGCCACTTTGTGAGAAGTTGGAGAGAGACAAGAGAGAGAAGGATAGAGAGAGACAGAGACAGACAGACAGACAGACAGAGACACAACGAAAGAGACAGAGAGAGAGAGAGAGGGAGAGAGAGAGAGACCAGGGGCAGCAAGATGGTGTGTGGAGAGACTATCAAGGGAGACAGAGGGAGAAGAATGTAGGGAAGAATGCAGGAGCAGGCACACAGAGAGACAAGAGACACTCTGCAACAGGGAATACAGAGAGATGAGTGGGTGAGACAAGTGGAGAGGGAATGAGAGGCAGTGTGAGACTAGAATGGAGAGATTAGTGAGACTGGAACAGGTGCTTGGGAACAATGGAATAAATGGCAACTGATCATCAAGCAGCCTGGGCCTCGTTTCCTCTTTTGTCTGCCCATGGCATGGGCCGCCCTGGGTGGGGAAGCAGCCCGAGACCACCAAATGCAGGTGGTGAGAGAGGGAGAGCCGCCAGGGTCCCCTAACTGCCCCAGAGATTACACAGGTCGGGTTGTGGTTTAGTTAGGGAATGGCACATGCTTGCAACAGTCTGTTCCACTTTCTGCCTCTCATCTATTCTTCTATTGCTATACGGAAACCAGATAATATATCTTGTTAAAACTATGCTTAACATAAAACTAAATAAACTCAATAGATTTTTCAGAAACCTTTAGTAAGTAAAATAGATGTACTTTATATGTAGCTTTTATGAGTGATTTGAGCTTTTAGAAACCAAATTTTATTTTGACTTTGTTTACGTTTCTGGTTAGTTTAGTTGGCTTTTGTTTGTTTGTCACATTTTCTAAGCCTTGATAAGGTTTATTGGTTAACTACTATTGGATAAAGATAAAAATAGCTGAAAACACCCCATGACCACATTTTTTTAGTTTATATAACAAATATTATATTTATACATAAACTTTAACTTTTTCTATTATAGAATAATAACTCAGAAAAAAATTTAAAATATTCATATACAAAGTTCACTTTTAATTCATATTCTTAATAACACTCCTTCTATTACCAACAAAATAAGGTGATAGACCTTTGGAGAAAAAACACCTCTACTCACACTGATGCTCTTAATTCACCCCTACCCTTCAACCCCTACTACTGTTGTCACAACCCTGATGCTTAGGTAATTAAAGTATAAGTGAAAGAGATGTCTATGTCTGTCTAACCTAGCCCGGTTTGAAGCATTAAGCTGATAATATAAAGATTTACAGACTGAAGAAAAGCAGTTTAGATTTCATTTCTGAACATGTATTAGGTGAATGAATGGCAAATAGTATTGAAGTAAAAATAAAGTAAAAAAAATAAAAGTATATCTACATTTTTGCTTCTTATTTTATGAGTTATTAATTATATGGTAACATTTGATTATTATTGGAGTCTTCAGTGAACCTTATTTAAAAACAAAAACTTCCTTTTCTACCTGAATTTTGAAAATCCCAACCAAAGTTAGAGGTCATAAGGTCATAATATCACTGTTTTTTGATAAAATTACTCCTAATGAGTGTTAATTCTGTAACCCACTTCTATAGATCGACTTATCCTCTAGGATAGGCCTTTCTGTATTAGCAGAGTTGGACATAAGCTTCTCAAGAGGAAAGGAATTTCCTTGGATGCCAAATTCTAATTCTCAAGTTTTCCATGTGGTTAGCACAGCGGGTAGGGCGTTTGCCTTACAAGCGGCCAACATGGCCGACCCGAGTTCGATTCCTCCGTCCCTCTCGGAGAGCCCGGCAAGCTACCGAGAGTATTCGATATGCCAGACACAGTAACAACAAAGTCTCCAATGGAGACGTTACTGGGCCCGCTCGAGCAAATCGACGATCAACGGGAGGGCCTTTACTCAACCTAGTTTCCTAAAAGGAAAATGAGGTAAAAGACTGAAAGAAACAGCAGAGACAGGCTAATGATGTTTCAATCACATGAAAAAGAAACAAGTTATGGAGAAAGAGCATCCTCAAAGATGGACATTTAAGTCCAAAAACTTACTGTTTAATTATGTACTTAATACCAGCCACTTAAGTACACAATCATATGTACATCATAAAAGAGTAATAAATATCACCATTTTGAGATGGTTAACCTAAACCTTAGGAAGATAACCATACGTCAGAGGTGACTGAGGTAGTAGAAGTGAAAGTTGCTATAAATTTAGGCCTGTTTTTCTATACAGGGTTTAAAATTTACTATGTTAATCCAATCCATGGAAATGCTCATTTGAAGGGAAAATTCAAACAGATGTCTTAGAGGCTCCTATTCACTTTAAATTGAATTCAGGAGACATAACATTGATGAGGTGTGGCTATTATTATGACAATGATTTATGACAATAAAAATTCTCTTTTATTTAAATCTTTATAATCAAAGTATGTGAAAATGGGGGGGAAAGCAGTACTCAAGGTAGAAATTCCTAAAATAATTTAATGATCCCTAAAGTATACTTTTTTATCTTGCATTTTCTATAATATTTTGACCAAACTGAAAATATTAATGTGACAATTTTTTTAGAAAACTGTATTTTTCTTTGAAAGTTCAACTTCTTAAATGTTTTCTTTTATTATTGGCTTTTAGATGGAAGATGTCATAGCACGGATGCAGGATGAAAAAAATGGAATTCCTATTCGAACTGTCAAAAGTTTTCTTTCTAAGATACCTAGTGTCTTCTCTGGTAAGTTTACTTAAGTAAAGTTCTGGGTTTTACTGAATTTACCTTCTTTTTTCCCTTTGGTGCCTTTCACATACTTAAAATATCTACTCCCATCACTATTGAAAATATCAAACTTATTATCAATAAATCCTAATATAAATTTTTTTGTCATCTTCAACATATTGAACTAGGCTAAAAGCCAAATTTATGTGAACTAGGCTAAAAGCCAAAATTATGAACATATTGTTAGTTCTAAGGTGAGTAAACAAATGTGAAACAGCAGAAAGAAATGACACACTGTGATGTAGAGTATGTATAGAAATTATGAAGTTAGGCAGGGAAAGAATCAGAAGAGCAGAGATATTTGAACAAGCTGAATTTGAAAAGTGGGGATTCATTACAAGCGTAAGACCACTGATAGCCACTGTGTGTGTAACAATACAATAAACAACTGCCTGAAATAGGGTCACTGTCCCTGTCCTCCTGTTGTTCATTGATTCGCTCGAGAGGACCCAGTAACGTCTCCATTGTAAGACTTGTTACTGTGTTTGGCATATCAAATACGTCACAGGTAGCTTGCCAGGCTTTACTATACAGGCGAGATACTCTCAGTAGCTTGCTGGGCTCTCTGAGAAGGGTGAGGGAATTGAACCCAGGTTGTTCAGGTCAGTCACACATAACGAAAACGCCCTACAGCTGTGCTATCACTCCAGCCCTGAAATAGGGTAAACAAAAAAAAAAGTTGATAAGAAAAGCAGTTGGCTTAGAGAATGAGAGTATATAAAAGTCAGTCTGTCCTCCCATTATTCATTGATTCACTGGAGCGGGCACCAGTAATGTCTCCAAAGTGATACTTGTTGTTACTGTTTCTGGCATATAGAATATGCCACGGGGAGCTTGCCAGGCTTTGCTGTGCAGGTGAGATCAGTAGCTTGCCAGGCTCTCAAAGAGGGGCAGAGAAATCAAACCCCGGACAGCCACAAAAGCCCTACCCACTGTGCTATCAGTCTGGTCTAAAGAATCTAATTCTTACATGGGAGAACTAAAAGGGCAATGAAAATTTTTGAGGACAACATTGAGAAAGAGAATATTGAGAGTAAAATGTTGGAGATGAGTTGGAATTTAATAAAGGCCACCGACAATCTGCAAGTGTAAGGTGCTTCCAGGGATAATTTGGGAGCCAAAGTTTTGATACCTGAGGACTGAAAGAACTGAGTAGGAAAATGGTATTTTGTGAATAATAAGGAAAACATAAAAAGTTAAAATGATGCATTTTTAAATGGGATGATTCTCAATGAGAATAATTATCAGAAATAGGTAAATCTCACATGTTTCACTGGGAGTAACTAGAAAAGCCTAAGGGAAAATACTTAGTAATAAGTTTAAAATCTGTATTATGGATGTTAGAGGCACTAAGGACCAAACTATGAGGACTTGGGTATGGAGAAGTCTGGGACAACACAACATAGAAAAGATGAAATATCAGACAGGCTCAACTTAACAGTAGCAAAAAAAAAAAAAATCTTATGGGCTTTCCTTCATACATAAGATCCTTTTCCAATTTTGCTGCTTTAGTCTCTTTCTTTGGTTTTTGTCATTCAAAGCACAGAGTATCTTGGAATTTCCCTAGTTAAATCAGTTTTTGCTGGAACTATTTGGACCTTGTGTATACTCAACTCTGAGAAGTTCTTAAGATTTTAACGATTTAACTTCAGATTTTCCTTCGTGGTGCTCATAGACTCCCATATTTCCTAATTTGTGAGCTCATCCCATCGTTTTCTGGTGCACTATTCATTCCCTTTTAGACCTTTGCATCTTCTATTGTTTTCCTGCATCTCATCTTTGAATTTCTTGATCTTTTCTCAGTTGCTATTATTTTGTTATTCAGAGTTTCTAGTATATCTATCTATCTATCTATCTATCTGTCTGTCTGTCTGTCTGTCTGTCTGTCTGTCTGTTTGTCTGTCTATCTATCTATCTCTCTGTCTGTCTTTCCATCTGTATATCTATTTATCTATCTATACTCAGAGCTTCTAATATATATGAGGCGTTTGCCTTGCATGCGGCTGGCCTGGCCGAGCTGTGTTCGATTCCTGTGCCCCTCTTGGAGAGCCCAGCAAGCTACCAAAAATATCTCACCCGCACAACAAAGCCTAGAAAGCTACCCATGACATATTCGATATGCCAAACACAGTAACAATAAGTCTCACAATGGAGACATTACTGGGCCCACTCAAGCAAATCGATGAACAACAGGAGGACAGATAGACAATATATACATATACATATATATATATATATACATATACATATATATATAATGACCTACAACACTCTTTGTTTCTGTTATTTCTATTTGTAGTTTTCATTTTTGGCTTGATTTCTTGTATGTTGATAATTACTCATGCCATTGTTTCTTTGAGTTCATTACACAGCTTCAACACCATGTCACTAAAGTCATCTTCAGAGGGTTTATAGAGCTAGCGAGTGTTATTTGTGCCTTCCATGTTATTTTTCTCACTCATTGAACTTGGTGGGCTTCTAGCCCAACTCCCCTATTGGTATTCCAGCGTTCTTGCTGTTCTAAGACTTTGTAGTTATGCTGTGAAGGATTAGGATGAGAATTGTTCTTTCCTTCCCTGCCTTTCTTAACACAGTGATTGGAAATATAATTGTGAGAAGTATGACAATTGCTTAGTAGATGTGTCATGCAGCAACATATGTGGTTGTGTGCTTCAGGAGATGTGGTGGTGTGAGCCCATTAATGTGGTGGAGGTCCAGTGTGGGGACCTAGCTGGAAGGAAGGGAATCTCTAAACACAAAAATATTTTCCATTCATTGGTCAGGAGAGATAGTTCAGTGGGTAGTATGTTTGCCTTCAATGTCGCCAATCCAGGTTATAACCCTAACATCCCATGTAGTCTCCTGAGTAACACTACGAGTAATTCCTGATCATTGCTGGGTGTGGTCCAAAACAATATAGATAGATAGATAGATATAGATATATAATTTTCATCAGAAAAATTTTACTGCATGTTTGAGTTAACTGATCTAATGGTAATTTAAAATTTGTATCCATTTCTTCAAATAACAACATATCACTTAATTTCATGCAATTTCAATATAGTAAAATTTTGAATCAATAATTGATTATGATAAATGATCTTAAACAGCAGATTGTGAGGCTAGAGAGATAATACAGAAATTAAGTCGTGTGCTTTCCATTTTTTTCACTTGAATTTGATTCCTGGCACCACATTGTCCCCTAGAATTCCATGTGAAACATTGAAGGCTTCTTGAGCACCACTGGGTATGACTCTGGAGACACACTAGCATTATTGGGTTAGACCAGGGAATTTTAGTATTCATTCCAAGGCCTGGGCATCACCATATCATTAGATCCTTACATTAAACTCAAGGTTAAGACCTGCTTGGTTGAGATTTTCTGGAAGTGCCAGAAGATCTCTTGAGTACTTTTTTGGAGTCATTTTCTTCAGGCTAAGAATAGGATTTTATAAAGAAAATTGATATATAAGTTTACAATGAACCATAGAAGTCTTATGCTTGATTTTAGTGGTCAGTATCAAAAAAACGCAGTGATAGCTGTGTAAGAAAATACTCATATGTGGAACTTAAAGCTACATAGCAATGTAGAAACTTAGAAAATAAGGGCCAAAGACAACACAACCAGACAAGTGTTCTACAAAACTAAGTTGGAAGGGGGCAGTTGGATCCTTGGAGGAAGGAGGTGGGTACGCTGGTGATGGATGTGATGTTGGAATATGTATATGAAAAACCATCATAATGTAAATTACAGTAACTTGATCTATTAAAAAATATCAATGAGACTTTTATATAAATGTAACTGTGCTGTAATTACACTGTGTTTCCTGAAGACTTTTCAGGAACTCTCTCTGCTTCACAGATTTAATTATTGCTAAAGCCAGTTTTAGCAGACAATTTTAAGTAAAGGCAGTAGGGCTAGACATATGTGAGGTCTTGAACTCAGTCCTTAAAACTGTATGGTAGCCCCAGAGTCATGAGGGAGGTCCTGGTGGCATCTGAGGTGTGCCACACCAAAGCTTCACTAGAATGGTCCTAAGATTTCTCCTTAAAATAAAACAGATCTGCTGTGTGTAGTGAGTACAGACAAAAATAAAAAGTCAGCTGTTGAAACAGAACTACTTATAGGCTTTTGCTTTTATAATCTGATCTTTACCCAAGATCTGAATTACATGTAATATTTAGGTACACTTATGTAACAGTCTTTAAAAAGGGCAGATATGTGATTATTTACAATCAAATATAATGGCTTTAAGTTCTCGAAATTGGGCTCAGAAAGAGTACAGAGGTTAAAGCCTTGCAAGGGTTGACCCAGGTTTGACTAATGGCACCATCTAGGTCTCTGCCATGAGTCAGATCTGAACACTCTTGGGTGTGGTTCAAACCTCTCCCCACTAAAGTTCTATGAACTACTTAGTCACTTCACTTCACTTAACTTCCCGTTAGTCCTCGATTTGCTCGAGCGGGTGCCAGTAACGTCTCCATTTGTCCCTGTCGCGTGCTAGTGTAGCCCAATGGCATCTGTTCGCTCCGGGAACATGAAGGGCCTCAAACCGATCGTTCATGATCTTGACGAAGAAGTCTGACCATCTGGTAGGTGGGCGGCCACGCGGTCTTTTGACATCTCGTGGAATCCAATCAGTAACAGCTCTAGTCCAACGGTCATCTTTAAATCTCATTACATGACCAGCCCATCTGATTTCCGACACCTTGGCAAATGAGACAGCGTCCCTGATCCTTGATCGTCGACGGATGTCAGAACTCCGGATTCGTTCTCTCATTTCAGTGAAACGTGATATTCCAAGCATAGCTCTTTCTATTCTTCTTTGGGAGACCTGAATGGCGTTCTCATCTTGTTTGCGTAGGGCCCAGGTCTCTGAGGCATATGTTAATGCAGGAAGAACAGTGGAATCAAAGAGATGTGCCCGGAGCCAGAGGTTCTTCGTCCTCTTAGCTAT